TATATACGGATGGATGGATGGATGGATACATCTGGATAGAACTAGACCTCGATATTTCAAACTCAAGTGTTAACCAGCGTAATTAAATCTCATGGTATCACTGCAGTTGTTAGTGGAACAGATTAAGGGAGGCCAGTGGTGATTTGAGTTTTAGCACAATGTCCTGCCTCCACCGAGCTCGTGTGATGTAACCAAGTGTGCGCTGTGTGGGAGGTTGAGATGGGAACTGCAGTTACCCCACAAATGTAAACAAACTTTGATATGAGGCAGGGGAGGCAATGTCCGTGGGGGGTATCAGACCCGCAATCATGGAGGTTTTTTTTTTTTTTTTTTTTTTGCAAGGCTGTGTTGAGTGACCCGCACACATATACAAGTGTGTGTGAAGCGTCCGTGGGAGTTAGCATTCGGTGCATCAAAAAACCGACAAGTCCAAACCCGTGTTCTGTGAAGTATCTTTGGAATTTTCCTTCCACTGTGGATGTTGTGGTGCTGCTGACTGACCCAAGTGTGTCCAAGCGTCTGAACTGTCCACTCTTCACACTCAAGTGTCAGACTTCTATCTGCTATTTTAGGAGGGACTTTGTCCTAGAGAGCCTCCACTTGAAAGCTGAGGGTTTTGTTGTCTTTGTGTTTATTGTACATGTGGTAGTTGTGCGGGTTATGCAAAGATGAGAAGCAAACATTCGCATAGAGAAAACAGTAGGATGCATTTTTGCAAACAGTGTGTCCATTGGAACTTTTAAGGTCCAGAACGCTTCGGGAGTACGGCTGAACAATCAAATTCAAATTGACATCACAATGTAGTCGTTTGAGATTTTGAAATCGCAAAATCTGGAATTTGTTGTGTGTGTGTGTGTGTGTGTGTGTGTGTGTGTGTGTGTGTGTGTGTGTGTGTGTGTGTGTGTGTGTGGGGTGGGGGATCCTTGTACCTCCAAAATCATGACTTTTCAGAAGACCTCCCCCAAAAAGTTTGTTCTTCATCTTAAAAGAGAGCAAGCCATCTTCAGCACTTCAGTTTAGCCATTCATCCATCCATTATCTGAACCGCTTTATCCTGGAGAGGGTCGCGGGTGTGCTGGAGCCTATCCCAGCTGACTTTGGGCAGGAGGTGGGCTACACTCTAAACTGGTGGCCAGCCAGTTGGAGGGTAGTTTCGTCAATAATTTGTAAAACTAACACCAACACACTGACCAATAGTTTTTCAGTTTGAGAAAAAAAATCTCTTATCATCTCTTATTGTAATTCTGATTCATTTGAAATACGGGGGAAGGCGACCTTGAAAAAAATAAGCAAATATTCAATCACAATTGCGATATAGGAGGGGGAAAAACATGCAGTATTTGAAAATTGTTCTTCCCAACTCACAATCTCCAACTTGTCCGCAGGAAAAAAAAAATCCCTTGGAAAATAATGGAATGCGTATGAATTCATCTGTTGGCATCCTAAAACAGGAATCAATTGCCTCCTTAGCATTTTGAAATTCTTGTCATACACCCACATGTACAGTATGAATATAATGTAACACATAAAAGGTAAACTGCCCGATATTAAAACGTTGACAATGAAAACATGGAGTGTTTCCACTTTTAGAATGACATGCACAATGTTTGACACGAGTGCAGTCATGATCTGGACACAGTGCAAGAAAGTTGTCACGTGGAAAAAAATGTGCAAAAGAATACATAAAAAAAAGTTATCACAGAGTGGAAAAGCTTTCTGCCCTTAAGCGAGAAGCATACATCAATCAAGAGATGGGGATGAGACGGAGTAGTCAGGGCTAGCTTGCAGCTGTAAATGTTGTCGTCTGGTTTGTTTAGGCCAATAAACTGAAAGGTAATGATGGGAAACAAAGTGGATGCTGCTGTTCCTGTCGAGTATCGATCAGCTTGCAGTATTTTGGGCTTGATACATCCTACGAAGCCAGTGACATACAAGATACTGTAAAAACAAAACAGACTTGGATGCAAAAGAATGTGATCGGGACATCTATACTAATTAAATGGAGCGTGATAGTAACACTCCATTACAAACCAGGTGCTTAAAAAGTCAAGCGAGAAGATAACCGGTCAGCGCGCGGTCGAACGAGCGTGCCCGCCAGTGCACGACAAATGACTGAAACCTGAAGGCGCAAGCTAGGGCCAGTGATGGCTGATTCTGTTTCACAGATGATATTCACCATGCACTACTGTCAAGTTATCCATATTTTTTTTTCTTACTAAAACAAGTGTTTTGTCTTGTTTTTTTCTATTGTGAACCCCCTCTTTAAATTAAGCTGTAAGAAGATGGAATGGGCCATGGCAAGGATGGGGGAGACAGCTCTCAACAGTCGTGATAGATTAAGCATTGTGATTTGTTTTTAAGCATGGGAATTGAGACTTAAATAATTTTTTTAAAATGCTTTCAATACCCCCCCAAAAAATCGATAAAAAAAAAAAAAAACAAACAAAGTCAAGTCTTATTATATGTTTGGGGTGCCCTGGAAATCTCGGTCTTGAAGCAACTGCCTGTGTTTGTGTATATTTTCAGCACCTTTTATCGTAGTCTGTGTTGGATTGGCTTACTAGCTGGTTGATTTAGTGCAAAGTTTTACATGGTAGCTGCGTGAATAAAAACATGAACAGCTTTCGTCTGAACCTGGCTGAGTGGCCTGAGTAAAGTACCCCCAAGTTGCTTGAGCGCTCCTCTTCTCTCTCCCTATTTGAACAATTTGTGTAATGGCTCAATCTGCCGAGGGCAGCTGTGTAAAGCACTTCATGATGTATTCAAAGTGAGACATGCCAATGCATATCCAGACTGTTTGGAAGGTGAGCATAAAGAGGTAGGCAGTGCGGGGGCTCAAGTATCTGAGGTTCCAATTAGGTCACGCCAAATTATACCAGCCATTGTAGGATATTCCAAAACTTCACATGATATTATAATAAGGTTTTATTTTTAAAATTTTATTTGCCAGTACATTGATATTATCAGTTAACATGTTAATATGGTTGTCAGCAGATCTGCCGCAGAGTTTTGAGGGTCGCTGGTTTCAAAACGTTGCTGTTGCATGTTGTCCCTGAAGACGTTTTCAATGCAGACTCTAAATTCAAATTAAGAAGAGTCTTGTTTGACAGTATGAGCCTTATAACTAACGGATTTGCATCCAGTCTAGAGGAAATGTATGTTGCACCAAGAGCAAATACTCATCTTCATAGGAATACTGCTGCTTTTGTGGCCTTTCAAATGTTTTATGGCTTCTGGGCTTGCTGAAATCACTAGACAACCTCAATGAGGTCATCTTAGAGGGCGTAATGTGAGGGTGGGAGCAAGGGTAAAGAGAAAAAAAAAATGCAGTTAATGATTTATCAACATGTCAAATTACATTGACTGGACAGACTTCTTGGTTACTTGTCGTCTGTTCTAAAAGGAAAATGTGCACTATCAATGAGTCTTTTCGCAGTCTCCCAATCTGCTGCACTTACTGTTTCCGTAAAAGGCCCGATTTTTGATTCAATGCACACTGATCTTTTTATTTTGTATTGTAGCCACATTTCTGACATTTGCAACAAAACAAACCACATGAAAATCACTTCGATCTGCAGCAAGTTAGAATGTTTTAAAGTGTGCTTAAGCCCATCTCTCAATAGAAATGAATGAAGTTCCCGTGAGTCATATGAAAAAGCTCTCTTCCAGTTCAACTTTCTTTCCAGGTGACACAACTTGTGGTAGCTATAGTACATGAAATATTCGAATCGCCCTGTGGTGTTTTTCCCATTTTACATTTGTGTCTAAAATCAAAAATCGGAAAAAGAGTTGTTATTCATCTTTTTAATTATTTTGGTGTTTGGAACAAATATGATCAAAAAAGTTTTTTTTTTTTTTAGCTTCCGTGTTGTTTTGGGAAACGAATGAATGATACATTGATTAATCATGTTTTAATGACTAGTTTGGTCCATACAATTTAAGAAAATCATCAAAAATGTCGACCACTGTTATCCAAAGTAAAACAAGATGTTTTCACTTGTCTTATTTTGAAAGGGGAGGGGGAAACAACACATCAATCTGCTTTCACTGAGGACTACAGAAATCGGAGAACATTTACTGTTGAGAGGCTAAAGTTCCAAGGATTTAGACAAATTTCAATTAACCCTCGAAACAGTTAATCGATGATCAAAATAATTGTCGATTCATTTGATCGATTAATTGTCGATTAATCGTTGCACCTCTACAAATATCCAAGGTTTATCTTTGTGCAGCAATAGCTCTACACCAATTTCACATGGTAGATGGAGACACTTCTTCAGTCAGTCTCAGGGAATATTTGTTCTGTTTACCTGCCATAGATAGCCAGTTAGATAGACATATGCCTGTCGGTAGAACTTACCTTAACAAGAGTACTGCACACAGCATCCATTTTGTCAAGAGTACGTTGGACACGTGACTTTCGTGGGATGCAGGCCATTTGCAAGCAAAATAAGCACCAGATTGAATTGGCCATAAGGCTCAGCAAAACATACCCCCCCCCCCCCCTCCCTACGAGCTCTGCACTTGTAACCTCGTTGGATCAGAGTTACGCAACAGGCTTGCGATTTGACATATGCTGCCCGACCTCCGGATAAACATCAGCCTCCTATGCCGCCTGCTATTTGCTGCCGGGAAGGCCAGACGTGAACGCGTGATGGTTAAAACCACTTCTGGAACAACTGCGGAGCTGTCGGATGTTTGTTCTTTTCGCCAATGTGTAATTTTTGCATGCATTGTTGTCTGATGGGAAATGAGGCTGGGCTCGTGCGTATGCATGCGTGTGTGGGTTTAGCTGGGTTCTGAGACTGCTGTTTGCGCACACATGAGGACCACAGCTGATGACATACGTTCAGGGTAATAGAATGGGGCAAAAAGTAGAGCGGAGAAAAAGTGAGGGAGGGAAAATAAACTAAAGTGAGCATGTAGCATTTAAAATGTCAAGACAGGAAGTGTAAATCTTGTCACATTTATCCCATGCAATATGTTTTCTCTCTTTCCAGAGCACCTTTCCTCCCTTGTGAGCCGTGTCCCCGATGGCGGCCTCGGTTCAGACACTTCCTCGTCCTGGTAAAAAATTTCAAAGCCCGTCCTTTTCGCCCCGCCGCAACATGGGAAGTGTAGGCAGTCTGGTGGAGAAGCCCGACGTGTCTCCTACTAAAGTCAACCAGGCCGTTCCCCAGGTGAGGCCCAAACCGTCCAACAGCCTCGTGAAGAAGGGCTTCACCCAGAGGGAGCTCCTCAACTACCTCAACATCACCAGGTGGGTGACACCACGAGTTCCATTCCCAGGCTGTTGTCACATTCCGTGGTTGATTTATTGTGTTCCCAAACAGAAAAGAGCCCAAAGCAAACCAGAGCGGTGGCTCCAAGAATGACATCATGGCCTCTATCGGTGGACATAAAAAAGAAAACCTGTATGCCAAAGTCTTCAACAAAGATGGCACAGAGATTGATTTGAGCAAGAACTCACTACCAAGTAGTGGAAAATACGAAAAGGTAAATGTTTATTTGAGTGCACTGTCTAATAACATTGATTATGGTGCTCTAAAAATCACTTGGGTCAAAAATCTACGGAGGCCTAAAAGTGACATGGAGGAAAAAAAAAAAGATTCTTGTTCAGACGAGACGAGAAAATTTTTTAGTCTAAACGAGAAAACGTTCTCCTAATTAGAAACAATGATCCTCACCTTATCTTCTTTTAGTTGGTCGAGAACACTATTTGTTATAGTCCTTGTTTTGAGGAAAGAGTGTCCTCTTCTGCCGCCATTTTCTCGTTGCGCTGGAGGCAGGTTCAAAAAATCGTTTACAGGAAGCTAGCTCATGCAGGTAAATAAGCTAGCGCACGGGAGAAAGATGTTTTTCATCTAGCAGAAGAGATTTTTTGTTAAGATGAGAAACTTTCTCGTCCTAACGAAATGAATAACCCTAAAAGTAGGCTCAAGGGGACCCATGTGACAGTCGGTCCCTTTTTGACACATAATTGTTTTGTTTTTTTTTTTTACCCAACAATTTTGTGAGTGAAGCCCTAATCTTTGGAATCGAGAGGAGTTAAAATCTTGGGATGTAAACCCTGATTGATTAATGACTGATTAAAAATGGCGTCTCTATACTTCTGCCTTGTCCATATAATAGCAGATAAGTAATCGAAGCACCATGTAGGGGGTAGATCATAATGTGATTTAGATACGGCCTAGGAACACAATAATAACTTCCAAGCAGCCAATGTGGGTGTTTTATATTGACATCCAGCCAGTGGCCAGCTGCCAAGGTTGTGCTAAATGGATCAAGTATCATATTTATACCGCTCTGGATGCATCCTTCAACACGCCCGCAACATGTCAGTGGTCATTCAAGCGTCCATTTCGGAGACTCACTGTGCTTGGATTCATTGCTTGCAACAAAATCTCGCAAACTGGCATTCAATCAGTCGTGCTGGGAAGTCTCAATGCAATACAAGACGACTTTATTTATATCGTGCTTTCACTACAGCTGCAGAGCTTTACAGAACATTTATTTAACATCAAATAATATTCATTCAACAGAACACAACATAAAACACTGACAATAATGCAATCATAACAACTATTCCTTTGTATGTCTTGCTCAAGGCGAAATAATATTGATCTTTTTTTTGGTGTGATTTAGTTTGAAAGGCCAGCATCCGCGCATGTGATTTCCTAAAGTCTCTTGAATGTTCTTGTTTCCCCCAGGCCCGCTTTAGGTCATCTGCCTTCAAACCCGTCACTCCCAAAAACTTCAGTTCCATGCAGAACCTGTATCCATCTTCCAAGTCAGAAGACGTAGACCACGGCATATCTAATGGGCTGCACAGAGCCTACGCCCATCTCTCCAAAACTCTCTCCAGCTCATCTTCCTCATCCTCGCCTTCTCGTCACGGAGGCTCCAGCGCCGGTAACGACAAGGTACGGAATGATCTCTTCCGTTATCATTCACAAAATCTTCACTTGATCCCAGTTCAGCGGAAGAAAATGTGTTCATTTTGCTAAATCTCTTTCCGAGTCTGAAAACAAACCAGAACTAGAATGGCTCGACGGTCCAGTGGTTAGCGTGTCGACCTCACAGTGCAGAGGTTCAATTCCAGCTCCGGCCTCCCTGTGTGGAGTTTGCACGTTCTCCCCGGGCGTGCGTGGGTTTTCTCCGGGTACTCTGGTTTCCTCCCACATTCCAAAAACATGCATGGCAGGCTGATTGAACACTCTAAATTGTCCCTAGGTGTGAGTGTGCTGTTTATGATTGAACCCACAATTTTTTTTAAGCCATGTGTTTTTCAAAATACAGTAGGCAGCCAAAGAAGTTGCGGGTAAAAACGTTAAAAAAAATCGAGATTATGATTCTACATCACTGAAAGTCAATTGCCAGATTCTTGCTTAATTGTAAGGGCCTGAGAAAACGCATCACTCCCCAGTCAAGTTTCTGCATCATAAAAAATGGCCCAAAGCGAAGCTAATCAACAATTTGGACATTGTCTGGCATTGCATTGAGACGGCATTCTTATTGGTGTGTAGGTTCATTCCTCCGCGCGAGGGGCGAGCCAGGAGGATGACAATCTGTCAGACTCGGGCCACAACTCCATGAGTAGCCTGCCGCCGTATCGGCCCCCCTTTCGCCCAAACCTGGCTCAAATCAGGTCTGTGTCACTTCCCAGCCTCTAATCAATTGTTCTCATTTCTTCATCGCTGCTTGAAAACGACATTTGTATGGCCTTTCTAGTGCATCTATGGGCCACATCAATACTATCGGCTCCCTGGACCGCAACTCGCTGGGCGCCAAAGCTGTTGGGTCGGGAGGTGGGACCATGGGGGAAATGGCGTGTCGCAGCATGGCAACACTCAGCCGCCTGGTTCCGTACGGAGGAGAAGCACCACCTCCTTATGACTGGACCCTCTCCATGTCGGTAGAGGAAGTGGTGAGGATAATCGGAGAGAATATAATTAAAACATGCCGCGGTGTGTGTGTGTGTGTGTGTGTGTGTATATGCGTGTGTGGGTGTGTGTGTGTGTGTGTGTGTGTGTGTGTGTGTGTGTGTGTGTGTGTGTGTGTGTGTGGCATAATTGATTTGCTGAGTAACACTAACTGCTTGTAAAAGGCAATAATTAGTAAATCAATTACTTTTTGGAAAAAGTCAGTTGTATCTCAAACAAATTATTTTTTTTAAAGTAACATGCCATTCATGATGGATGTACACAGAAATAAACCATGAAAGTTCATGGTTTATTATCATCGAATACATAAACATTTTTGCTGTCATTATAGTTAGTTTTATAAACAAAAGATGTAGTTTCAGTTAATTCTTTTTTTCAGCATTTTTTTTCCATTAATGACAATATTTTTAAATATTTAATTTTTGTTATTTTTCCTGAACTCTAATAACCTTGGTCCACGCGCATAACATGACCCTCTCAAAGGTGCGGGATCTGGAGGAGCGGCTGGTGGAGAAAGAACACGAGCTGAAGCAGATGAGAAGAAACCTGGACGAGAGCGAGGGCGCCATCGCTCAGGTCAATCTCTCTTCTGGATCACGAATCAGTATCGTCCGTCTTGTTGGAGGCCTGTGCCTCACGTTCTCCTTGCGTGTAGGTGTTTGAGGGCAAACAACGTCTGTGGGAGAAGGAAGTGGAGGAACTGAAGCGCCTCTACGCTGCAAAGCTGCGACAGGTTTCCCAGCATGCCCAGCGATCCCAGCGTGGTTTCCAGCTGCAGCTCTTCAAGGCCCAGCAAGAGAAAACCCAACTGCAAGAAGAGCTCGAGGCTCTGAAAAGAAGCCAGGAGGGCGAGGCCAAGGGCAAGCCAAGAAGTCCCACCCTGGAGGAGACACAGTGGGAGGTGGGCTACACTTTATGACTGGGAGAAGCGCTCGCTTTAAAGTGAATTCAATGTTGCTGGGACTCATCTATGCCTTTTGTTCCTCAAAGGTTTGCCAGAAGTCCGGAGAGATCTCCTTGCTCAAGCAGCAGTTTCGAGACTCTCAAGCCGAGGTGACCCAGAAGCTAAGCGAGATCTTCCAGTTGAAGACGCAGCTCAGAGAGACTCGGCTGGAGCTTCGCGACAGGGACAGCCAAGTAGATGCGCTGAAGCTCATCCTGCACAGCTCCCAGTGTCACAGAAGACCCTCTCGCGGCACCAGCGACCACGGAAAAGGAGACGAAAGTACAACAGGTAGCGTTTGGGGCTCAATTAAACACATTTGAAATGCTTCCAAATTCTGAATGGGACTTGACATGATAAATGAGAATTGACAGGAATTAAGTGATAATTCGATGGTTAGCTCAGTGGTTGCCAACCTTTTGATCTATTTTACATCGGAAAAAAAATTACGGCACACAACAAAACAAAAAATGCCACAGAAAATATGAATATTAAAATGCTGATCAGATTGTCTCGATTTATTCAGCGTTAAGTCTGGGCATGTTGAATAGTAATAGTTGAATGCCAAGCTATTATTTATTCTGTATGAATGGCAACAGGTGAGTACACTGGTTTATCTTACCTTCTGCCATCTGGTGGAAGAGCATTGTTCTGCTCATCACTATATGTGGCCGGCATAGCTAAATGAATGAAGATACATTACAGTAAACCCTCTTCCTGGCAGGTTCCAGGTTCACCGTCCTGATAAATTGCATATTTCTCCTTTTTGTATCTTTTTTTTTTTTTTAAACAGTCGATAACTGTTTTGGTCTAACATGCGTTTATGTTGGTTGCTATTCCACTTTCGTCCACTAAACAGAGGCATACTTATTTCGTTTGAGACCGTGTGCGTTTGAAAGAACAATGAAAGAGGAAGTACTGGACGTCACCACAGCCTAGTTTGTGGTGCAAAAAATATTGAATGCCATCTGCTCTAATCCTGCTTTTTATCATTATTGATGTACTTTAAATTGTGAGATGATAAGTTAATTGTATGGAAAAAAATGGGCGATGTTGAGGGATCGGTACACACTGTTACGCAGTTCTGTTATCCATTGCTCTTCCACTTTTGCTCCCAAATGTATTTAAATGTGTTTGTATTATTTTAAAAGTGTGTAAAGACCTTTGAAAAAAATATGAATGCCATAACTGCTCAAAAAACATCCCTGAAGAGTATTTAAAAAGGGTATTTCCATATCAAGAATTTTGTTTATTGCAGGGAGGGTCTGGAACGTAGCCCCTGCGATGGAGGAGGCATTACTGTAATTAGTTAATTTTTGGACCAATGAAGTGAAATTGCATAATTTCTTGCAATATACCTGATAATCTCTTCTGAGACATTGGACAATATATCAGATTTTGTACAATATTTTGGCATGTCTGCAGACATTTCTCGCAAACTCCATTCTAGTCCGCTGCAAAGGTGTTGATGGGATTTAGGTCAGGTTTTGGTGCAAGTATTTCCACAGCAAAGCTATCTAATCCTGTCTGAATGGACCTTGTTTTCTTACTTTGTACATCAGAAAAGGAACACATTTTAAACTGTTCCCAGTTTAAAATACTAAAAAAAAAAAACAAAAAAAAAAAAACAAAACAAAACAAGAAGATATTAAAAAAAAGTTTGGCGATTTCAAAATTTCAATTTGAAGGCAACAATCCTCAATAAATTTTTAAATTGGCCAATTCCAAATTTTTTTTCGAAGTTTTTCTGTTGTGCAAGTTGGCTGTCTCACATTTCACAACAAAGAAATAGTTGACCGAACTATTCTTCCCCAACTTAAAGATTTACGAAAAAACAACTCCGCAAATTTTTCTTTTTTCGGACTTAATGTTTTGGGCCCCAAAAAAATACAAGACGTTTTTTTTTCAGTGTCGGGGCCATTCAAGGGCCTTTTCCAAAGCTAAACGTGTGTGTGAATACTTTACTCCATATAGTGTCTAGGAGGAATAACGACGATCATAAACCACTTCGTTATTTTTGGGACAAAAAAAGAGGTTAGTACCTCATTAATGAAAGCAGGTCAGGATCAGACAGCTCCACTGGACCGCCGATGATACATTCGTACCATCTTTTGCTCGTAGGAGTGTGTGCGGGCCCGACCGAAGAGCGTCTGCGCGCCGAGCTACTATTGGAGCGGCGCCAGAGTGAGGCCCAGGCCGCGGCTTTCGAGGAGGAGAGGCGGACATGGCAGAAAGAGAAGGACAAGGTCATCCGCTACCAGAAGGAGCTGCAGGCCAGCTATTTAGAGATGTACCACCGCAACGCAGAGCTGGAGAAGGAGGTGAACCAGCTTCGAGCCATTCGAGAGCAGGGAGGAAGGAGCAGAGATGGCACTTTGGAAAGGGAAGACCAAGAGCTGAAGAGCGACGCGGAAAAACAAGAGGACAGTCCATCCCCGGGTTTGCCGTGGATAGATAGGATCGAATCCTCCGAAATTTGAACATAACACGGACGACAAGGCGGGCTGGGACCAAGAGTTAGAACTTTTAGTTTCAACCATGATTGTAATTACCAATCAATAAACCCACACTGTACACTTTTTTTGGATACCTGTGCACCTCCTGCACACAGTCTGGGATTTTGTGATTGAAACTAATGCATTATCCACTGTTTAATTGAGGAAATTGTGTTTGAGTAGAGTAAGTTTGGCGGCATTCTGGCCCATATATGCTTTGGCAGAGGTAAAATGCCGGCGTAAAATAAATAAATGAATGAATGAATAAATAAAATTGTGAATATTTCTGTTTTTAAATCACAGCCTGTGTATTTTGATAATCATAAAGTAACCGTCCAAAACCAACAGAAGAAACAAGCACCTGCTACATTGTACAGCAGAAGTCTTCCTAAATGTGAATCTGTATATAAGCACATGATTATCATGGGGAATGTTGTTGTTATTCTACTATCGGTGTACAGCTTTGACAATAACCAAAGGATTCAGAAGGGACTGACTTCGGTCCGAGGAAGCTTTTCCGGATTCAGGCAGAAAAGCTGCACGCGGAAGTTCGGTATCAACAAGGACTAATGTTTGGTACCAAGATTTGAAACTATTTTGTGAAAAGTGGCTCTACTTATGAAAATGACATTGTTACAAATAGATGGTAATTCCTCTTTCCTACCAGATTTATATAGTTGGTCAATTACTTGAATAATTGAATGATTACTTGGAATAATTGTTCAGCCCTAAAACACGACATTGATATTTCTGTATCTTTCTAATGCAATGACACTGCCCTGCTTTAAAATGATATGTTGTATTCTCCTTAGCAAAACTCCGCTGCATGATGAAGGTTCATGTTTTTGTTTTTTTTACACATAAAAGCATTCAAAAGCCAGCTTTCATTTGATCTTTCCAGAGAGAGTGACTCTCATCTGCTTTCTGGGGTTAAATCTGAACATCTTCGACTGAATGAAACAGAAATTTGTTGTTTAGAAAAAAAAAACATCCCCAAAAGTTAAGAGGATTTTCTGATTACAGCAGTCTGGACCGAAGCGAACAGAAATCAAAATGCTTGGACTGCACCCGAGGGTCCAGACGTCTACCGCTGCCTCGGAGGGCTTAAAAAGCAGCACCATAGCTTGCCAATAAAAGCCGAGGACAAGTGCTTTATTGCGAAATGTACAAGGGCGCACCAGAGGCGTTTGGAACTAATGTGGCTTTTTGAGATTTAGCCTGGGATGCTTATCTTGGACTCTCCTGCTTTCACAGTGAGGGGCCTCAACTGAGATGGATGCCTGTTTGCTTTAAAAAAAAAAAAAAAAAAAAAAGAGACACTGGGAATTGTTTCATGGATTCATACATGGCATTATGTAGAAGAATGACGCAGGATGTAATACGAATAGCAAAAGCTGACTCACCAGGTCGCTAACTCGACATTTAAAAAAGATTATATAAACTGCGCTTAATATAACTTGCTTAGCTCAAGAGAGGTGATCTGCTGTAGTAGGATGAGAGAGAGGGGGGGGTGGGGGGAGGACATTTTTCACTCTGTAGGAGGCCTGCAACACAAAAGGCTGCTGAACTGATGGACTGCAATAATTTCAAAATGTCGAAAATGATCAAGGCATTTTAATTAAATTATGTAACTCACTTGACAGAGTGGTTACGACGGTCCACGACATCATATTTCGAGGTCAAGAACAGATCTTTGTCACACTGCGCCATACAGGGACTCAGCATGAGGAAAATAGGCAAGTGCCACACTCATGTCCCAGCAAAACTGATTAATAACGTTTTCTAAGATTTAAAGCAATTATTGTCTTAGTCTTAAAATATTATGCTTGAAAACCCATCAATATGCTTTTTGAGTTTTCCTCTGTCCTTGTGCAATGAACTATTCAATCTTACTGCGCACATGTTGGGCTGAATCAGGAAAGGGGGGGGACCAGCACACTTGTCACGGAGGAGAAGAAAAGATATTTTCTCAAAATGAACCAACGGTTTCAACAACGCTACTGCTGGCCGCAATAGCACTGCTCTCAGTGTCATCTGAGGCAGTGTTTTGCAAACTTTTTTAAGCCAAGGCACACTTCTTTCATTGAAAAAATCTCGCGGCACACCACTCGCTGAAAATGTGAAAAAAAACCACTTATTTGAATAATGAATGTGTTATATTGTTACTATAATCGTTTTTAGCATTGAAGAATGACATTATAACAGCTTGAATTGGAATCAAATGAACACAAAGAAAAAAGTATTTTCTCATCTTTCATATTTATTATTTCACCGTCGTCCTGCATTCATGCGTCACAAATTCGCTTGTCTCTCGTCTAAACACAAGGCAATTGGCTAGCTGTTGCTGCTCCCTAGCGGTACGGGATGGTACTACACGATTACTTTCTGTGCGATAGACCAGGGGTCCCCAACCTTTTTTGCCCCACGGACCGGTTTATGTCAGACAATATTTTCAGGGACCGGCATTTAAGGTGTGGCGGAAATAATACAACAAAATAATATGGTATGAGCTGCATGGAAACTGTGGTGTTTTCGAAATATAATAATAAACACAAGGAGCGTCTAATCTGGCCGCAACACTCCGATCGCTATGGTAATGTTTAATGCCTTCAAAATACGATACAACGCAAATTCAAAGTGCATGACAATGACGACTCACCACAGCCCCGAGCTTGATTTTCTGCAACCAGACGGTCCCATCTCGGGGTAATAGGAGACAATGACACCTCAAGTGTGTCCAGTCTACTTCGTAATTTTGTTTTAGTCGCCGTTGCTGCAGAAAA